TGTGTGTGTGTGTGTGTGTGTGTGTGTGTGTGTCTGTATCTCTGTGTGTCTGTGTCTGTATCTCATTGTGTTTCCCAGGGTGTGTATGTATCTCAACATGTGTGTGCATCAGCATGGTGTACTTCACTGTGGCCATGGCCTCCTTTTACTGTGTGTGTTACTGTGTGTGTGTGTGTGTGTGTGTGTGTGTGTGTGTGCACATGCATGCACGTGTACATGGTGGCTTGTTTTGTGTGTGTCTTTATCTTTTTTCCATTCCTTCCTTTTTGTGTTTAACAGCCTACTCTCTGCATTGACGATTTGTCTCCTCAATGTGTCTGTAAATGAGAGCCTTTCCATATTATTCACTAGGGAGCCATTTCCTGCTCCATCAGGATGCTGATGGTATGTATTCACTTCACAGCTTGATGAATCCCCTTTAGAAAAAAGAATATTTTCACCACATGAAACTCATCCACATCTAGACTGTGTTCTGAAAAGTACTTTCTCATCCAAATTTTTAATATTTTACATGCAGCAAGATATATACCAGTTTTAAAACTTGTAAACTAAGGTTTAGAACAATTATTTACATATGTCATAGGCAGCTACATAACTGAAAGGGACTAAGTGATAGTTCAATTGTATTGCAGTATTTGACAAACATAGGTGTCTGGTTTATGTGTGAATAAAATATTTTGAATTGCTATGGTTTAAAAAATTACACACATTCAAATTGGTCATTCTTGTGTATGGCTCTTTGGTTTTTAAAAGTGTAAATATACAATTTAATTTCGTAATTAAAATACATATTTCTCTTCTACTCACACTGCTCCTTCATGATCAAGAGGCAGGCAAGCATAAGAGATAGCTTAGCTTGGGACCCCCATTTGAATTTGACTTATACACACAGACACACACCGTAATAATTTACTACACAGTCTAGTTCCTTCACCAGTATCACCATGACTCAAACAAGGAGCCCAGCAACTTCAAAACCCCCTGAACTCCTATCTGGATCAGGCCACACATTTTCCTATCTTTAAAGAAGTTCCCCACGGCTGATAGTAATCAATTTTAAACCATTTCTGTTCAATGAATTCCCAAATATATTCCCTTATTCAGTTTAAGGAATAGAAGAGACAATCTGAGCTAAACTGATTTGGAGTGTTCTGAATGCTAAAGTGAAACTTGGTCCTTTAGTAATCTTTCGGGGGGGGGAATCCCTATTTATCAGCTTATGCCTACTCATAATTAAGCATGTATATGATTAAAATCATATGCATTACCGAAAGGGATATTCACAGTAGAGAAATGGCTATATAATCTAATCTGTCAATAAAAGTAGTTACCCACACTTTGCTCCTTAGTAATCAGCCTCTCCTACTCTTGAAGTCCGTAAAAAATTCCATAGTAATGTAACCCTCACTAATGTCAACCTTAATAACCTTTATAACCTTCAAAGTTTCTTCACTCCAAATCAAGTTGTCTTGCTTCTTTTGAACATCTACATGAGCCTTCATTTACAATTCTTTGGATAAGAGGCTAAAACCATGTAAATATTAGACATAGTCACCAGTAACAGTCACATCAGATCTGCCTGTGTCTTCTAGCAGTCATTTGTTTGTTCTTTGTTTCTACAATTTTGTCTGTTCCTGTTCATATAAGCACAATACTACAGAAGGGCAAAGTTTCAAGATGTTACATTATTCAGCTGTGACATATCTGAGATTCTGTCAGGGGTCCAAAAAATATCAATTATGGTATTTCAGATACAGGCCTCAAACTCTATCCCAGGAGCTTGAATCTCACATGTCTTTTAGGTGTTGGGTGGTTACCACAGGATAGCTTGGCCTCAGTGCAGAATGTATCCTAGTTTGCATAACAACAGACCTAGGCCCTGGGTGAGCCCACACCTGTCCTGAGGTCTTGTTTACTTGCCCAGGGACTGTTTGGGGTGCCTCTTGGATTAAAAGAATTTTATTTATTTATTTATTTATTTATTTATTTATTTATATTATTTAATTACTACTCATATTTACATATCCATCACCCCCCATTCCCTTGCTGCCCTCCCATCCTCCCATGTTCCCTACCAACCCCTCAACCCATGCACCAACTCCTCCCCAGGGACAGTGAGGCCCTCCACGAGGGACCTTCAAAGTCCCTGGTGGACTTTGGGGGAGGGTCTAGGCCCTCCTTGCTGTATCTGGGCTGCAATAGTATCCCTCCATAGGGAATGGGCTCCCAAAGTCCATTTGTGCTCTGGGTTTAATAAAGACTGGTTCCACTGTTAGAGGTCCCATAGACTGTCTTGGCCTCCTAGCTGGCACCCATATTCAGAGG